AAAATTTAACATTAGCTCTAGTTTCCAGTCAATCTATTGGTTGTAATATTGTGAATATTGATGCTCATGATCTTGCTAAAGGAAAACCTCATTTAGTCCTTGGTTTACTCTGGCAAATTATAAGGGTAAATATATTTCTGGCAATAAAACAATTATATCAAATTTTATTTAATAATTTTATTCAAATTATTTAGATAGGATTGTTTAATCAAATAACTCTTGAAAACTGTCCTGGATTAGCAACATTGTTACATGATGGAGAAAAAATTGAAGAACTTATAAAATTATCACCAGAAGCAATACTTCTTAGATGGGTCAACTATCACTTGAACCGTGCTGGAGTTTCAAGGTATAATATAATATTTATAAAATTTGATAAAATTAGATAATTGCAAAATATTTTGTTTATAATTCCAGACAATGCCATAATTTCCAAAATGATATAACTGATTCAGAAATATACACATATCTTATGAAACAAATTGCACCACTTGATTCTGATGTTGATATGTCTGCATTAATGGTGATTACTAATCATGAATATGATTGTTACATTTATTACATTTACATGTCCACAATATCGGTGTACATGTAGTCTTAATTTTTAACAATGTTTTATAGTTGATTAATTAACCAACATTTTCATTGAGTATTTATATCTTTGGATAAACATAATTAAATTGAATTTATTGTTTTAAAGGAACCGGATTTGAACAAAAGAGCAGATATAATGTTGCAACAAGCAGCTAAGTTAGGGTGTCGTAGTTTTGTTACACCCGTCGATGTCGTGAATGGTGTATACAAATTAAATCTTGCATTTGTTGCTAACTTGTTTAACAATCACCCAGGATTAGACAAACCTGAAGGAGAAATAGCAGGATTAGAATCAATTGAAGAAACAAGAGAAGAAAAAAGTCAGTTTTTAAATTTTTTATAAGATTTATAATTAACTGGTTTATATTAACTATTTATTAGTCTTTCTATTTCGTATTAGTATTATTTAATAATTTCTCTATTTTTTTTTGTAGCTTATAGAAATTGGATGAATTCTATGGGTGTTGCACCTCATGTTAATTGGCTTTATTCAGATTTAGCAGATGGTCTCATCATTTTTCAATTGTATGATATTATTAAACCAGGAATTGTTAATTGGTCTAAAGTACACAGGTAAAAAATATAATTTTAATTTAGCTTGTAATCTTAATATAAAATCAATAATTTTGTTATATATTTCAAATTCATTTAACAAGATGTTAACACACTATTATTACTAMTCTCTGTGACTCAGTGACTCATGCGTACCATTGTAAATTTACATTGTGTTAAATCATTCTTGTTCTATTAGGTTTAATACTAGAGTGAATTGATTTATTATCCAACGCAAATTTAAGTTTACGTATGTTAATTGACTATATCAATTTTTATGCAAGTGAATGTAAAATATTACTTTTAAAAATGTTAAATATCTTAACATTTTTTTTTTCTTCATATTTTTGTATCGAAACGACCCCAAAGTCTTCATCAACGTCTTTTCACTTTGGGATGGGTAGAGTGCATGTAGCTCTTGTACTCCCTTCTCTAAGAAGAGAATATACATGTGTGTGGACATCACTCCCAGTGGAGTGGGTCCGGTGSGGGGCAGTATAGGCAACCAGAACGACGGCAGGGGAGAGATTACAGAAAACTGTAGAATATTTTTTTTGCACTGAGCCGGGGGTTGAACTGGTGACTGCGTGCGTCGTGACCAACTTGTGTGACCACTGCACCACACTGCCCCTAAAATATCCTAATAAAACTAATCTACAAAAACATAGAAAATGTTCTTAACTAAAGTTATGATAATAGATCAATTCAATTTAATATTATAGCTAACAATACAAAATTGGTTCTGCTGAACACAAATTTTGTATGCTGTGAATGTACAGACAGATAAAAMACTAGTAGTGAATCRAAATCCTATTAATTAATTTTTTTATAATTGTAATATAAYTAATTCTAACATTGAAATTTTTATATTGTAGAAAATTTTCTAAGCTGCGAAAATTTATGGAAAAATTGGAAAATTGCAACTATGCTGTTGAGTTGGGTCGGCAATTAAAGTTTTCGTTAGTTGGTATTGCTGGACAAGACTTAAATGATGGAAATGCAACTCTTACATTAGGTTAGCAAAAGCATCAAATTATTTTTGGTTCAGTGTTAAATATTAAATTAAATAGTGTCAGTTATTAACATTATGATATATTATATATTTGTGYTATCATACCATAATTTTATTATTTAGGGTATTAATATTGTAATATACAAATAAGCCATTATATTTTTTATATTAGACGACATGTGGTTAATTACATTCCACTGCTGTGTCATGCATTATGCGGAATGCAA